CTATAATTAAATAAAATATAGGGTTAAAAAGTGGCCTTTGTTACTGAAAGGTTGTGGAATATTGCTTCGGGGTTGGCATTCTGAGGATCCAGATATTATTATATGCATATTTGATTTTATTCACAACTCCCCGTTTGTTTCTCTGGTTATCAAAAGCAGAACTCTAATCATCTTAGTCTTCTTGCTCCTTTCTGATTTGGACCAGGCCATGAAGAAATTCCCCTACTTACTCTCATTTGATGAACGGTCCTAAGACCCTCCTCAATCCATGGGTTCCTACTCCAGACCCCAAAGGGAAATATCGCTGCACAGGGAGGCCCAGAGATGCTGGACCCATCCCATTTACATACAGATAGCCACGCTTCAGTCCTACCTACCAATAAAGTCTCTATAGCAACTCAAAAGGTTAGGATTTGGAGGGAGTTTCTAGATTGTTGAGCATGGGCAGCGGTGGCAGCAGTGGTGGGGATGGGGGTGGGGGCTTCTGCAGGGAGACATTCCAGAGAGGGCAAGGCAGCTTCATGCATTTTCCCCTTCTTCATCCATGTCCATTGCAATATGTCATAGAAGTAAACATGAGCATTTCCCTACCAGGTTCACTGAGACCTAGGAAAGGTTCTTACTCGAGAGAGGACTGATCAGACACACCGGTGAAATAACCGTGGATGGTGACTGGCATCAGAAGAGGCAAGTGGCCTTGAGGACCGTGGCTGTAACCATGGGGACTGGTGCCATCTTAGCCTCAGAACCCTGTGGGGTTAAAGGACACGCAGCTGGTGGTGTCCACCTCAGAATTGCCTGCGAGCTTGTTCTTGAGGAGAAATCCCTACCCCTTCTGAACTGATGGTGAGACAAGAGGAGATGAAAAAGGGACTTTTTGCTCTGCTTTGTGACCATGGGAAAGTGGCACAAAGCGTCTGGTCCTCAGTTTCTGACTCGATGGAAGTCCTGTGGTTAGAGCAATCATTGTCTCATCATGATGCTCCTCGAATTACATACGGTCCGTGTGTGGAAATGCGTTGTGAGCTCTAAACTGTGATAGGCACAGTTGTTGTCAGTTTTCATGCGGAAGATGTGGACTGAATGAAAAATTGCAATGATTTTTTTTTTTGCCAGACAGAAAATGAGAACCATGAGAGGTGTTACTGCAAAGAATTGGTGTGCTGGGGTATTTTAGGAAAGCTAATCCAGCACTGGAAAGATGGAGAAGGAGAAAGAGTGGAAAGGGGGAACTATCTTGGAGACCAGTACATTGGTCTGGGCAAGATCAGCATGGATCCTGAGATCAAGGGGATAACCAGAAGGAAAAAAGGAAATTATTCAGTATTTCTTTCATATGCAGCTCACTGTTCATAGGAAGAAATTGAACTTTGCTTTTAATTTGGCTTTCTTTGTGTGGGGGAGAGGAGACGCTAGGGTCAGACATGGTGAGGCCAGCTCAGATGTGGGCCCATGAGGAAACCAACTGTAATGCTGAACAGTGTGATAGCCTACTATTTGATCCTTCCCCAACCCAGTCTCTTTTGGAGGCTGAGTGTCCTAGATCTAGAAGGCTGATAGTTAGCAAGGCAACACAAGCAAGCAAACAAATAAACACACCAATTGTTGGAACCTAAATACTATCTGCTTTTCAAAGTAAGAATATGTATTTTCCATTCAGAGAAAGGTGATAAAAGACAGACAGAGGAAGTAGCTTCATGGGAAAGCACACATGCCCAGAAGGTGGTTGTCAGTTAAAGGTAGGCTGGTACCCACAAGATGATCCCATGATGTTTTACCAGAGGAAGTGTCAATCTGAACATTATGGGTATAAGGTGAATGGCAGGCGGTACACTTTCTTTTCATGCCTTGGAAACATGTAAGAGGCCCAGGGTCATGGATTTAAAGACGAACCTACAGGCTAGGAGATCCTGGGAGCCATTTGGTAACACAAACACATGTGGTTCTGGGGAAAAGGAGGCTTAAAACAGCAAGATGATTCTAGGGTGGGATGTAAGGTCCCAAAAAGGGGAGGAAGGAACTGGGTCAATGGCAGACATGGCTGGACACCTCTCCAATCTCATTCTCTTTCATTTTACTGACTGGACCTGATTTTACTACAGGTGAAAATATACTCTGCAAAAAGAATAAGTATCTCCTAGTTTATGTTAATCCCAGTGGACAGCAAGATCCCAGTAGACATTTTTTTGTGTGGGACTTCCATAAATATTTCCAAATGGGGTGTGCATCCTTTAGCTTTTCCTTTCCTCCTTAATTGGATTGAGGAAACCTATCCAGCCCCAAGGAGAAGGCACCTTATTGGTTTGGAATGACAGCAGCTGTGAAAAGCTCAGAAGGAGGGATGCTTTTCTTTTCTCTGAAGTGGTGGAGGGTTCCACCACCTCAAAGAGCCAGGATGCCGTTCAGACCTAACTGAAGCCATGCTTCCTGGCTCCTACACTGCACTCTTTAAGCCTTTCCGTCTTTCTTTCCGCTGGAGTGGCCTCTTCCAAAAGAGTTCTGCAGCATAGCATCCGTGAGCATTGCATGATCAACTCTCAGGATTTCTCAGCACTGTGAACTGCTGAAGGAAACTGACCGTACGGCTGGCTACAGCAACATGTACTGGGACCTGCTGGGTGGTTCTAGTCCTGAGTTCAGAAGAGGCAAACTAAAGGCAAACTAAGCATGGGATCCTCCCAACGCCACTCCCGCTGGCCGGACAGCAAGGGTTCAATGAAAGGAGCATGCGCACACAGGGCAGCTGTGTCCAGATTCTAGAAGGTGCCTCCAGTTCTCTGGGGTCTGCGTCTGAGGTCCCCATTCTCTAGCAGGAGTTTCTTGTGAACTGAGCACTGAGATAAGAAGCTTGCCCAGAACACTGGATTCTTCCTCATTAGGCCAGCTGCTTCTTTTCCTCGCTCTCCCACTTGCCAGAAGGGAGACAGAAAAACTATCTCTTGTTGCAATCTCTGCTTCCATCGAGAATCTATGACCTTGGAAAGAGCACAGGTTTCAAACGCTGGTCTGAGCCAACAAGACTCCGAGCAGGCGCGGTGCTGTTCTGGTCAGGCCGCTGGGTAAACCACAGCAAGGATAAGAGACCAGAAAATCATTTATTCTACCAGAGAAGAAATGATACTGGGTGTGTGGGCGGTGGTGGTCGGTGGGTGGGTTCGTGGGGGCACAGATATTTCCTTTCCAGATGCCGCCTCCCTTTTTTGATGTTCGCTCAGATAGGGTGAGCAGTGACGGGGCTCCTAGCATTTAAAGGGACACAAAAAGTTCGGCACTTCTGGACCCAGTCCCAGGGAGAGCAGGTTTTGTGCGCATATGGGAAGAAGCAGGAGCGAGTCTTCCTGTGCCCAGGCAGGCAGAGGGGACAGAAGGCTCTCTACCTTGGGCAAACTTCTCTCCATTCCGGCAGGGCACAATCCCTCTTTTACCTCTGCTTCCTCCCCCCTGCCCCGTGGGAGTGGAGTGAACAGGTGCGCACACACCCGCTTGGAGGGGCCGTTCATCACCGACTAGTCCCGCACCAGCAGCTGCTCAGATGGTTCCCCGCTTGCCGGCGGCTGCAGCGCGCACCGAAGGCCCAGGGCTTCCAGCAAGGGGATGACAGGGACAGGGCGACTCAGCTGTCTGGAGACTGGGGCGCCGGCTTGAAGCCTGTACCACGCCTTCAGTCTCACCAGTCACCAGTAGGGAGGAGCAGGACAGGGTCAGTTCTGGGCAGCACTAGGGCGGGCTGGAGCTGCAGCCCAGGCTCCGTGTCCCCCTTGCGGTAGACCAGTCAAATGGAGATGCCACCCCTTTCACACCTTCTCATCCTGGTGGGTTGCAGGGGGAGTCCCCAGGACAGGGCTGCGGTGCCCGCTAGATGGGCGCGGCCCCAGGCTTCAGGGCGCCCACTGCGGGCGGGACCCCGACTGCACAGCCTGAGCTCCAGAGGCCACCAAGGCAGGCGGAGGTCATCTGCGTCCTCCCAGCTCTGCCCCCAGGAGCCTGGCTGGGCCTGTGCTGGTTTGGGCGGTGCCCGCGGAGTACCGTGCTGTAGCACAAGTGTCCCGCTGTCCTCCCCAGGCCACATTGATAACCACTTCCCTTACCCGCACCCCGGGAAGCAGTCCTGCCCCAGAGGGTATCTTGGACGAGGTCAAGATCACCTTGCTTCGCTGTTATTCTAGGAGCGGCTCAGTCCTGTTTTAAGACGCTAGCTCTCTAGACATATTAAACTAAGTTTTTGCTTGCCTTTTGTTAAGAAACTTTTAATCACACAGAATTTAGGTTCTAATCGGTCGAGCGTTTAACTGGCCCAGAGAAAAAGCTTCCGTTTTTTACCACTGGCTCTGGGGGCTGTTGGAAAACAGCCACCGAATTTAGGCTGGAGTTGAAGGTTAGCAGGATTTACCATTGTTTCCCCAGGGGGTTCAACCCTCACGGGTGCCTTTTTTTTTTTTCATTTAAGATACTTTCAAAAGAAAATTCTGGAAAACGCTTTGACTATTTTGTTTTTAAAGAAATTTGTTTGAGCCCTTTAATCCAGAAATATTTCTAAAATGGGGAGGAGGAGGCACTGGAAACTGACAGCAGCTGTGTGTCAGGAAATAATAAGTATCATGCAAAAATATCACGGCTAATAGATATCCTTTAGAAGTGGCAATATCTATGTTTAATTGCTTTTAAACTGTAGGGTGGAAAACACAATTATACACTATAACGAACCTGTACAGAAAAATCCGGAACAATACAAGTGCTAGTATTTCTTCTTCATGATCGAAATAATTGTCCCCAAATTATGATGCTGACAGCCTCCCCCAAACACTGTGTTTCCTCATCTGCAAATGCTTGAAGAGGAATAGTTCTTACCAGTCGAATACATTTAGTTTTGTCCTTAATAAACAGAAAATTGCATAGCTTTTAATATGGTTGTACATCCTCAAATGCATCTTTTAATTTCATGGTTAGCTCTCGATATTTAAAAAAAACTCAATTTTCAGAGATACATATATGAGTCCTAGTAATTATAAACACATTTTACTCATCTGATTTTTATAACATGCATTTTCATAATTACTGTACAACTGAAATAGACATTGAGTTATGCTGTGTGCATGTCCTTACTCAGCAATATATTCTTAGACACTTTGTTCAACAAATTAAGTAAATTTAAAAGAAACTGAAACAGGAAAGAAAAATCCTGCCAGTAGAGAGAGAATCACAGTGCGATACAGACAAAAGGGAAGGAAAAGAGGTTCTCATACGAAAAAAGAGATTTATTATGACATAGAAAATGTTCACAATCGTTGAAACACACTTCGGAAACTAGTAAACACCTTAGATAGAGTTGTGCCAATTACTTGGCCTGCAAGCATCTGCTTTGTCTTAATTAGAGTGGGAGGTGAATGACCACTGTTTATTTTCATTTTCCTCATTAATTATGAAAAACTGCATTTAATTCATCTTGCATAGTGAGAGATTGGCTGCGCAGATGTAAGTCATAAGGGAAGTGGCTGTCGGTGGGCAACCTGAACATGGCACCCTGCCCAAGGGGACCCCTGGGTGGCACTGCACAGTAATGCATGCCATAATTGTAATTTTTGCCATAGTCCAAGGTTTCTTCTTGCTTCAGGGAAAATATCCCATTATAGTTAATTGGGGGAGGACTTAAGGGACCTTCAAACTGAGGGCTGGCACACTCAGGGGAAGTACTTTCATAGAAGGATTCATACGCGCTGCAGTAATTGTAGGGCTTCATGGACTTGGAATTATCAAGAGTCCCATGCCCTGGGGGAGTGGCCAGCTCAGGGCTATGGTAGGGTGGGTAGAATGTGGAGTAGGGTGACCTTGTGTGGTGTGCAGCCTCCCCACCCTGACCCATCAGGAAGCTCCTGGCGTTGAGCTGTAAGCAGCCTGCCACCAAGTTTGTCGTTGGCTGGGAAAGACCTTTGCATAAGTTTTGGACGAACGTGAGCAGATCTGGTCTCTTGCCAATCCTCAGAATTTCGGAAAGTGCCCAGATGTAGTTTTTGGCCAGCCGTAAAGTTTCTATTTTAGACAGTTTTTGGGTTTTAGAGTAACAGGGGACCACTTTTCGCAAATTGTCCAGAGCGTCATTGAGGCCGTGCATCCGGTTCCTCTCGCGCGCATTGGCTTCCTGTCTCCTGAACTTGACCCTTTCCAGTCGTAGTTTGGTGGTCTTTTTTTTCCTGAGACCCCTCCTTCTGGGCAAGCCATTTTCATCTTCTTCTTCTCTGTCTTCCTCCTCCTCCTCTTTCTCGGTTTCTTCTCCAGGAGCCCGTTTAATGCTCTTTCCTCGAAGGACAACTTGTTTGGGAAAGCTCTCTGGTTTCTTAATTTGTTTCTGGTCCTCGCATTGTCTAGCAAACTTTCTGCACATCTGGGATTCGGGCATTATGACAGACTCGTCAAACGGTAGTGTTAACATGGTTCTTTAACCTTAAATTACCTGGAAAAAATGCCAGCACAATATTTAAAGTGTTTTCATTTTTAGAGTTGATCTACTTCAAATTTATTTAACGACTTAATCACAAGGCTCTGAAAGCACATGAAAAAGACTGATTCCAGAACTTGTATTTATATTAAATAAAAAAATTGAGCTTGCGTAGATTAGAAATAACAAAGACATTGATCCATGCAGTCACAGTAATTTATACAGACACATTATCAAAAGAAAATATAAAAGGACATATCTATTAGAAATCATCACATTTTTTATTTTTCTTGGATTTTAAAATGGATTTTTAACACACCAAGTGAAGTTCAAGTAAATAAAAGCATGATATAATAATGCAGATTTTCATTAATTCTAATTCCTCTGAGAACAAAATAAAAGAGAAACCAATTTTTAAAACGAAAGGTGCTACCTCTCTCTGAAGCTGACAAATTTGAGGGGTTTTGTCAGAAAAAAATATTAACCCCCAACTTTGTTTCCTCTTAACCTCAAGCTAGAAATTTTGATAAGTGAGTATGGAATACACACATTTAAAGAAAATATCAATAAGATCCGTTTTTAAATTGAAATTTTCCTGATGAGTAAAGAAGTATGGAAAAAGAGTACTGTTTTCTCAGCCTCGAGGAAAGGGATATTAGGCTAATTTGAAAATAAAACTATAAACAAATGGAAAAACCACAATCATTACTGACATTCTTTTAAATCAAAGCAAATGTGGCGACTGCTTTAACATCTAAGAATTCCCCCAATGTAATTGTCTGTTTACTGCTGCTCCACTCCTGGTGTTTTTGTTCTAAGAGCCACGGAAGTCTCCCTCCAGCTAATATCGGACAGGAACGGTCCAAGGATTCTGCCTGCAATTGTGCACGTGTGTTCAGAATCCCAAATGAAAGGGGGAAATAATTTGTGTTAAAAATGCAATTTTGGTTTCTGTTAGATAAAGCAGCAAATATTTTCATCTAAAGTATTCAGCCAAATAGACATATTAAAAACAGGGACTTTTAAATTAACAATCTCCAGCCCCCTTTAACACACACACACACACACAAACACACACACAATGTCCACACATTTACAATGTTACATAATAACAGTGAAAGTATGTGATAATTACATCATAAGAATGAAATATGACAAGAACTTATAGATGGTAAAGAACATAGAAATACTCTAAGACAGTGATACTGTATCTTTAAATACTTGCATGCAAAGCCAGCATCAATTGAGTATATCTTTATTTATATTACCTTAGGTTTTAATTTCATTCAATAATCAGTTTTCATTTTGTATCTTCCAAATCTTTTCAGGCTGAGTGTCGCATCGTCTCCTGGAGCCTCTAGATCTGTGTGTATCTGCACTATCTCATTGATCTCTAAAAAGTGACATTGATGCCAACTGCCAGAGCTGGTACCCATGCCATCTGCTAGTGACGTCACAGGGCAGAGAGAGCCATGTGATCCTCTCTTGGGACCTTCATTCTGCACTGATCATCTGGCATCCCTGTAAGTGGGTACCAGCATTCATGCATCAACACAGGAGGTTAGACTGATAGGGAGAAAAATCTGCACCAGCCTTTCACATACAGTAGGTGTGTTTCTCTTCGAGCTGCTCGGGTCTCACTGGCAATCTGTAGAAAGAGCTGTTAGGGATGGGTTTCGCCCTGCCAATGGTACAACTGTTAAGCAGTCGTTAATATTCCATTCATTCGCAAGGTGGGCTTTTGTGTGAGTGAGAGAGGTTTCTGTTGTTTGTGGGGTTGTTGTTTTGTAAAGATCATCAGCTCCACCTCGGTGGAGCTGGCTACCAGGGAAGGAAAGCCTTGCATGGGAACTAGTAGCTGAGCTTGGGCGCTGAATGAAACCAAGATCAGGGTCGACAAATGGGTCCGCAAAGGGCCACTTATTTCTCTGTTTTGTTTTACGGCTTGTAACTTATGGGTTTGTGCCTGCGTGTTCTTGGACTCCAGACTTCTGTGCTTCTCAGGATTTCAGAACAAAAGATCAGTTTCTTCATCTGGGGTCTGTGAAAGACATCTTCAAATGCCCCCTTACACTTGCTGCTGTCTTTCTCGGAACTTTTCAGAGAGAATTTGCGCAGTCAGAATGATACACAGACCAATTGCAGAGTCGCAGTGAGTCTTCGATTAGATTTGAAGCTACATGTTTGTGCCCACCGCTGAGCCCCTAACTCTACTCAGTTCCCCTCCCTGGTCTCCTGGTGTTAACCTGCGTGTGCCGTCTCAGTTCAGACATGAGAAACAGAAAAACCATCACTTAGGCTTGCAGCTTGATTTCTCCTTTTCCCTCATTGTCCCTTGCCGGTGCCTTTTTAACGAAGCAGGACAGAAACAGTTAAGCAGAGCTGGCAAAGCCCTTCGAACAAAACAGGATGTAAAGCGAGAGGCCAACCGTACTGTCCTCTCCTTTCTCTGCTCCTCTGAGATGACTCTCTCCCAAATGGACATATTATTTCAGGAATGCCTATAAAAGGCAAAAAAGTGAACTTTTTAAAAAGTGAAAAAAATAAACAAATAAACAGAAGCCTTATTGTTTGACAGCTGCATAATCTCCGGCTCTGAAGTGAAAGAGTATGCTTTTGGTCTTAGTATAATCCCTGGCAGCCTGGCACCGCTGAATCTGTGTTAGCATTCCCCTTATAAATCCCACCTTTGAAAGGTTTAGGATGCTGCTGCTTTAATGCACTTTGGGTCCAAATTGGCACCAAGGGCCTTGCCCGGATTCATCTCTGCTCCCCTTGCTCCCCTGTTTATTTCCACTGCCTTTACAAAGTTTGCCTGACATTCCCAGGACCATTCTAGAAAGGATGGAAGGTTGACATAAAGAAAGATGCCAGGTTAAAAAAAAATGCATAGTTTGCCTCTCTTAAAGGGGAGAGTAAAAAAGAAGTGTAAATTTAAAACAATAGTGAGCCTCCTAATTTATAGGTTAAAATAGGTAAGTGGGCCGAGCTCATATTTGAAAGTAAAACACGTAACATCAGTACTTTTAGAAGTGGCAGCTGAATATATTTTTACTAATGATGATATTGAATATATTTCATGTCGTTTTTGGTTCAAGATCTAAATATATTTTTGTATCAATGCCAAAGAATTTCCACAGAAGGCCAGATGCAGAAACCAGTTGTCCCCGTGTGTGATTTCATTTTTAAGTGGGAAGGAGGGAAAAGATCAGAGTCCTGAGCTGCAAAGGAGATGGAGCTGTCTTTGAATCTCCCATGTTGCACCTGTGCTAAGTCCCCAGGCGCTGCATTGTATTGCATCACAGATGTAAATGTCAAAAGGCAGGGATGACCTGATTTGATGTGTCCGTAGGAAATTATCACCAATGCAGCAAATGTAAGGACTGATCCTGTATTTTATCTTTCCAAGGGCATAAAGCGAGGGGAAGGATGAATGAATGAATTGGTGACTGTTCCGTTCTTGCCAGTAACAGGAAAGAAAACCTTTGGTAGTGATGAGGCTGGGGACAAAGCTTATCCAAGTATTTTGATCATCTATTAATTTTTGAGAAACTTAGTTTTTTCTTTATTTTTAAAATGAAAGAAAAAAATAAAGAGACCGGGATGGGTATTGAGAATTAGCATGTGAAGATTTAGTAAGGACTCGGTGTGTTTGTACAATAACTTTTCAAGAAATTTTGGTCTGCATTTTCTAGGGTAGTTCCAGGTATGCAAATGTCTGTGGTGTCTGTTAATACGCGTTTGTACCATCTACCAGAGTGACTGTTCTAATCTCTGTTAAGAACGCATATTAACACCAAGACTCCAAACAGATTTAAACACAGAAACTCAGAGCCTTGGCCAGGAAGTTGTCACCTCCTCTATCACGGTTCTTCCCGTTTCACCGCCATTGCTCTATATCAAAATTCCCCTCTCTGAATTGATTCTATTCTAATTTAACTGCTGTGATGATTTTGTTAAAATTTTTCTTGTTGTTTCTGAGGTCATGAAATTTTGCAATTTTTTTCAAGTGCCCAGAGCCTGTCAGCGCCCATCTCCTGCTGTCAGCAGCTAAGTGCTCATATATTAATCACAGAAATGAGCTGCAGACAATTTAGACATGATTTTTGATTGGGGATTTTGTGAGAGAATGAAAGTCACACGTTCAGAAGTGGAGGCCCAGGTGCTGTCCTTCCTGACTACCCTGTGGCCACCTATGTTTTGCTTTAGCATATGGGGCATTCCTGTGCATCCGAGGCAAAGGGCAGCAGGGCAGTCTGTAGTGAAACTTCAGAACACAGTTCCTTCTGCAGATGTTGACACATCTGAAGGGCTGGATATTTTCTTTTTTGACTTTTTTTTATATTTCGTTCTTTTTTCTTTTTCTTTTTCTTTTTCTTTTTCTGGCTTCTTAGGCAAGTGCCCCAGGGAGCCCCGAGATTGGCTTGTACGGCAAACTCAGTGTAGGTTTACTGAGTTTTAACTCTTCAATTCCCTCTGGACTGACATGGTACGATGGTGTAGCAGAGTATATCCCACTTAGGAAAACAACCCTTGGATTAAAGAAAATCATTTAAATAATTAAGCAAGTCAGAAAACATCCTTACTGCTCCTGATTCCTTTAAGGGCTTAAAGCAGCTGGACGTAGGTGTGGCAATGTTTGGTTCACACCCTCATGAGTATTACGCAATGAATGGCCCTTTAAAGTCCCCTAAGGTGAAGCTGGACTGCAGCGCACGTGGCCTGCTAGTCTCCCACAAGCCCACCCTGCCAGTCCTCTGCTGCAAACTTTGTGCAGAGCAGTGCTGGTCTCTTTCCAGAAGCGTATTTTATCACTTTCCCCCACAGAGTGTACTTTTCACTTCTTCTTCAAACCCATGTGTTAGAGCCATTTTCTAATTTGTTATTAAATTAAAGCATCTAAAGGGACAGACTGGAGACTTCTATGAATATAAGAAAATGGGTCTGAGTAGATGGATTGATTTTAATCCATTCTAAAGGAAAGTCAGTACTTTATTATCTTGTGTGTTACTATAGAAAATGTCTAGCTACCTTTTGGCTTTAAAAATTAGGAAAACTCATTTGTTGAGCCTGATTTCGACTTTTTAATGATACTAAACTAGTTAATTTTTGTTATTTTTTCAGCTTATGTAATGTAATGGTTATTTGATGTGTGAGTAGGGCGGGGGCTGTGTGTTTGCAGGTGAATGTATGCACTGGAAGTCAGAGATTGACATTGGATATGTTCCTGTATCAAATCTCGTTTGTGGAGATAGGATCTCCATCACCGCGCCTGGAATCCACTGACTCCGCGGGAATGGCTGTCAATGAGCTCTGGGAACCTGACTGTCTCAAGCCCTCAGAACCGGAGCTGTGGGTGTCTTCTAAAACACCCGGCTTCTCTGTGGGCTTTGAGGATTCAGACTTGCACCCTTGCACCCTTTATGCTCAGAACCACCTCCCCAGTGCACAGTCAACATTTTTAAATGGAGAAAACAGAAGACCATTATGTTTTTCTTGTTACATTCATACATGTCGTGAGATGGGAGCAAGCATTTAGATGTTTTCGAAGGTTTTACAGAAGCAGCCCTTTTTTGAGAGCATATAATTCAGGATGCTCTGAGATTTGTGACACTTTTTCTTGCTTCTGTCTTCAGAATGCTGGTACTAAAGGCAGGCGCCACTACAAGAGTACAAATCGTAATTTTATATTAATAATTTTAAATTAGAATGCAAGGTGTTAGCTATCTTGGTGGTGTTTTAGAGCCTAGTGTATTTTAGTAGACTCTCTTTCTCCCTCAGCTTTTCCTACCTCTCAGTACCCACAACACTCTCTTGCAACCTCCCCCAGTCTTTTCCCTTCCATGTCCTATGAGTCCTTTTACCCACTCCTTATCCCTCATCACCACCTATTTTTGCTCTTTCATGGTTTCTTTTATAATCTTTAGGTTTTATCCACATTTATACCTCCACCACCGTGTGTGTGTGTGTGTGGGGGGGTGTACCTATACACATTATAGGCTAGGATCCACACACGAGCGAGAACATGTGGTTTTTGTCTTTCTGAGTCTGGATGACTTTCATTAATTTTATACTTTCAAAATTACCCATATTCCTATAGAATCCAGCAGCATAAAATGCCTTTGTGTGTATTATCCCACGATTGTATGTAGTTCTCTGTGGATGGGCAGCTGATTGATTCCATCTTGTTTCTGACCGGACCCTGGCAATCGCATCTCCCGTCACGACTAGCTGAGCCAGTACAGAAGTTCCTCACACAGGGATTCCTGAATGGTGTTCAAGAGGTCCTCATGCCTCCTGCAGTGCAGTGACTGTACATACAAGGGCACAGATGCGTGTTTCTAATGGCAGATTCCCACATCCGATTTTAGGAGGGTGATAAATATGTCTCATAATCGTGGTGGCCAATCTTCGTTCTGCTCTTTAGTAGCTATGTGCCACGAATTTCTTCATTCATCTTT